AAGCCCTCGACCTCCCGCCGAGGGAGTGACCGGGAGGGAGCCCTGAGGGGACAGCAGGCCGTTCCCGGCCCATAGCCGCGCTCAGCTCTCCCGTCCTCTCTTGCAGGTCTCCGGCTCCCCGCGCACGGTGTGCTGGGCTGGCGGTGAGCACCGGGGCTGGGGACACCGGGGCTGGCGACACTGGGGCTGGGGTGGCCGGGGCGGTGACCCCGGGGCTGGGGGGACCCCAGAGCCGCGGCTGAACGGCTCCCCGAGCTTTGAGGGGTCACTGGGGGTTTGTGGAGCACCGGCTCCCGGGAGGGCTCGGGTGCATCGCGGGGGGTTCTGTCACCCTGTGCGGGCCCTTTCTGTCCCCAGGCCCGGCTCTGTGAGTCCCGTTCAGGCTCAGCTGCTCCATCAGACGCCGGCGGCCGATCACGCTGACAGGTAACAGCCCTGGGGACAGGGAACAGCAGATTGTGCCACCACCCCGGGTCAGGCATCTCCTCCCTTCCCTGCTAAACTCCGGGGAGATCTGGCAGCTCTGGCAGCCCCGGGGCTCTCTGTGGTTGGGACGTAGCTGAGGGGCTCTGCCTGAGCACCAAACCCACAGATCCCACACTGGGGAGAATCCTCTGCTACAAACAGAGGGGTGGGATTGTCATTTCTCGGGGAATCACAGCCCTTGGAGGGCTAAAGGCTGATTCTGCAAGGAAATAACTTGGAGAGTGATGGCTCTGTGCTGTTCCTTTCAGCTCAGTCCAGGTGCAGAAGAGCTCTGCTGTTGTCCAGAGAAAATCCTACGTCCCCAGCAGCCGTGGCGAGTACGTCATCACCAAGCTCGATGACCTGGTCAACTGGGCACGGCGGGTGAGTCCCCAGCCAGCGGGCTCCCCTGGCATCGAGGGTGACAGATGGGAGACACCTCCTGTCAGGATAAAAATAGGCTCAGAGCTCCCATGGCCGAGTTCTGTGGCCAGAGGGTGACATTGGGGTGCAGTGACAGAGCGGGAGAGAGGCTGAGGGTGTGTGTGGGGTCTGGAACTGCCCTTCGGTCACCAGGAAAAGGAACTTTCTGGAATTGTCCCTGCCCTGCTGCTGTGCCTATGACACAAGTGACAGTGCCCTGGGTCTGCTGTGCTCTGCTTTAGCTGGGTTGGTCCTTGTCTGGCCACCACTGTCCCTGTGGGGCTCTGAGCTGTCCCCTGAGCTGGGACACCACTGTCCCTCTGGGGCTTTGAGCTGTCCCTTCTCTTCTGCCCCTGAGCTGGGACACCACTGTCCCTATGGGACTCTGAGCTGTCCCTTCTCTGCTGTCCCTGTGTGGTTTGGTGGCTTCAGCAGCGTCAGGGGAGCAGCTCTGGACACGTTCAGGCTGCGCACGGAGCTCTCCCTGTATCCATTCCCCCGCAGCTGCGGGTTTTGCTGCCCTTTTTCTGTGTCACCCGAGCTCCTGCCTGTCCCCACAGAGCTCCCTGTGGCCCATGACCTTCGGGCTGGCCTGCTGTGCCGTGGAGATGATGCACATGGCAGCTCCTCGCTACGACATGGATCGTTTTGGGGTGGTGTTCCGGGCCAGCCCCCGCCAGGCTGACGTTATGATCGTGGCGGGGACCCTGACCAACAAAATGGCCCCGGCGCTGCGCAAGGTACCGGGGAGCACGGGGAGCACGGGGACCTCAGGCATGGCAGGGGGAGCTGGGAACCATCCTGTCGTTCTGATTGGGAACGGCGATAAAGAACGACACTGACTCTCAAGGGAGTCACAACAGGAGAATCTCTAGTTTATTGCTCTAGGCTTGTCTTATAGACAGATACGTGGAAAAGTACAGAAAGGAAACTCTTATTGGTTAGCAAAGTGCTACATCACCATCATTGGTCAGTGGGGCACAACACCCCCCTGACTTTCTCCTGCAAGGAAAACAAGAGGACAGACAAACAGCACCTGGCAGTTGTTTTCTGTCTCTGAGGATTGTTTTGAAATCCTCCTATGAAGTTCTCAGGCTAGCTTCTCAGGCAGGACTGAGAGGCCATGGGCCTGCAGTTTCTGCAGCTCCCTGCAGCCTGTTCCAAAGCTAGCATCCATACCATCCCAAATGTCCCTGTTCTGCAGGTCTATGACCAGATGCCAGAGCCTCGCTACGTGGTGTCCATGGGGAGGTGAGTGCCGGGATGTCCTCGGTGCCGCGGGAGGAATTCTTTGCTTGTTTGTGTTTCCAAGTTCTTAAAGAGGCCTCGTAGAGCAGAAAGGCTCCTTCTGGGGATGGTGTGTGTGTGAATCCTCACAGGGATAGCTTCAGGGGATTTGCAGCTGCCAAACTTGTGTATATCCACAATCCCAGAGTTTGCTTTTGGCTTTCAAAATGCTTCTGCTGTGCTGGAATCTGCTCCATCGGGGACTCAGTTGGAATCTCCTTCATGAAGGACTCAGTGGGAATCTGCTCCATGGGGGACTTGGTTGGAATGTGCTCCATGAAGGGATTTGGTTGGAATCTGCTCCGTGGGGGACTCAGTTGGACTCCATGATCTCAGGGGTCTTTTCCAACCTGAATGATTCCATGATTCTCACAACTTTTCTTGTCCCCACACCAGGGCTGGGGGCAGCCAGTCCAGGCTGGAACAGGACAAATTCTGGGAAAACTCTGAGGGAAAATAGAAGGTTTTGTAGCAGAGAGGGAGGGCTGTGAAATCTGCTTTGTGAGGGTGATTGGAACAGTTCAGTTGGGTTGGATTCATCTAAAAACATCCCAGGCAGGGCTCGTGATGGGGCAGTGTCACCTGTGAGCTTTCAGCTGGTGGCTCCTAGCCTGGCAGTGCCTGCCTGCCCAGGGCCACCTTCCCTTGGCCTCCTGCTCACCCTCCTGGGCTGAGCCTGTCCCTGTCCCTGTCCTGCAGCTGTGCCAACGGTGGGGGCTACTACCACTACTCCTACTCTGTGGTGAGGGGCTGCGACCGCATCGTGCCCGTGGACATTTATGTGCCAGGTACAAGGGGCAGCTCCACCTGGGAGCGGGGCAGGGAGGGGGAATTCTCTGCTCTTGGGTGTAGGTTTGGAAAGTTTTCCTGTTTCAGTGCTGGGGAAGCTGCAGCAGCTCCAGGGATTGTGGGGTGGGGAGGGTTGTGATGGTGGTACCGTCAGTGGGGTGGGAGAGGGGTTTGGATCACAGAATTTGATCAAAGAATTGCTCTCTTTGATAAAGATCTCGATAAACACCATCACTTTTTGTTTCTTTACACTCCTGGCTGTCTCAGCCAGGAAGCCAGAGGGGAGTCAGCTTTGGGATAAATCCTGGGATTGGCACCTCTGCTGCTGCCTCCAGCTCCATGCAGGTCCCAGCCCTGTGACCTTCCTCCCTTCTTTCCTTTCTCTCTCTCTCTCAGGTTGCCCACCCACAGCTGAGGCTTTGCTGTACGGGATCCTGCAGCTGCAGAGGAAAATCAAGAGGGAGAGGAGGTTGCAGATCTGGTACAGGAAATAGCCTTTATTTATGTCCCCACTCCCTGCCCCCGGGCACTGCTCACATTCACGCACAAATCCGGCTCCTCACGCGCCTTCCAATAAAACTCTACCTGGTCCAGGTGCTTTCCTGTCTTAAATAAACCCCTCTGATCTGAGGGCTTGAAAAACAGGAGGTGAATTTGATAACACTGCTGAGTTGGTTTCTGTCAGGGAAGGTGATGACATATTGTAACATAAAGGTTTTGCCAGAATGGTTTTTTTTTAGCTTTGTTGGGAAGTTTTGAAACCAGCACACGTCTAGGTGATCCCTGAGCCCTCCCTGAGCTCATCCCTTACTCACCACCTGCTCCTTGTTGCTAATTCCTACACAGGATCTGATAAAACTGTAATATTTATGTGTACAGGGGCCAGAAATTAATTCTGTTTCTGTAACAAGTCAAATACTGCTGCTTAAAATCAGAATGTGATTAATAAACCTGAATATAGAGCTCCTAAGCAGGGTAGGGATAAAGCAGCCTGTCCTGGATGCTTCCCAGGAGCCTGGAATGAGGAATGCTCATGCCTGAGGGACAAACACACTTTGGAAAGACAAATCACTCAGGAACAGCAGTTTGGGTATTTAATTCCTTTTAATGGACTTTGTCCCTTCTGGGGAGAGAGGAAACATCATTTATTGAGCTGTGAGGGGGGGGTTGGGGTCAGGATTTGCTGCCATGGGCTTTGGCCAAAAATGTTGGGAAACTTCTCTGGGGAGTTGCTTCAGGAGAAGCTGAAAAGCCTCAAAATGCCTCAGACTGTCCCATTTCTCCCACCTGGTTTGGATTATTTGACTCTTGTGGGAAGCCACTCTGTGATTTCTCAAGATGATCCAGTTTTTAGAGGAAAGGGCTGGTTCTGGAACCCATTTGCCCAAAGGCTCCAGCCCACACTCTGCAATTCCAGAATTGATTGAGAATTCGAAGTCTTGAGGGGACAGAGCAGGGTGAGATCTTCCACAAAGCCCACAAGACCCCTCCAGGGCAGGGGGCTTCCGGGGCAGGGATTTTCCTGTCCTTTTGTCCCCTGGAATCCATCCCAAGCCTCCACCCATCTCTGGCAGAATCAGTTTCGATCTCTCAGGGGTTTTAAAGAGATCAGAGCTTTTCTCCTCCTCATCAGCTCCTGCTCCCCTCAGTGCTGGGCCCCTCAGTGTTTGAGGATGGTGGGGGTGATCATCCTGGGGTGGGAGTAGTAGCGGCACTCGCGGGGCGGCTGCAGCTCCATCACCCTGGTGCTGATGTTCTCCCTCCTGAAGCCCGCCTGCAGCAGCGGCCCCACCTGGGTCTCCTGCAGGAGAGGAGGAGCAGCCGTGGGTTGGGGTGGCTCATGTGAGAAGGGACAGCACCAGCAGCGGGGGGAAAAACCCTCCGAGCTCCCCTTTGGCCCATCCGCCCATCCCCAGCACCGTGGATGAGTTCCACAGCCTCTGGCTCATCCCAGGCACGGCTCTGGGGAGAGGAACAACTCACCTCAAACATCTTCTGGATGTCGCTGTACCTGCTCTTGAGCAGCTCCCCCCACGAGGTCAGGTTGCAGTAGGTGAGGACCCCTCCGGGCCGCAGCAGGCGGAAGGCATGGCCCTGTCCCGGGAATGCGGGGAGCTGGCTCAGCTCCTCCCGCACGGCA